CGCCTCCTGGAACATGCAATATGGATAATCTTACTAATATTATAAATACCAAAGTTTAGATGGATGTTTGTTAGAGTTTGTAGCCTAAACTGCTGAACAGATCTCGACGAAATTTGGCATAGATGTAGAGGATAGTCTGGAAGAACACATAGACACTTTTGTTTGTTTTTAATTCTACACAAACGGAGTCACGGACTAAAACTAGTAGTAAACAAATGTATGTAAAGTAAATAAAAATGTAAATAAAGTTCACGATATATTTCCAGTACCGGAATATTAGAAATAAATTTGTATGAAACGAAAATGGTTATTACATTTTGAACCCAACACATTCTAAGAGAATTACAATTAATTCTTAATCTGTTCCTCATAAATCTATTTTCTTTTATTTTAACACTCATCTCTTTCTCTTTCCCTCTCACTCCTCTCTGTTTCTCTCTACTTCTATTCTCTCACCTTCTCCGCCTGCAAGTTCCTCAGCTGTATCGCGTCCGCATCGAATATAGAAGGCATGTAGGAGTGCCGGAGATCTCCTATCAACTTCTCTTTGTTACTCTTTCTCACTCCACTTGTTGGTTCTGGAATGTAACATACAAGAAACTTTCACATATTTGTATGGATAATGTTTGTATGAAAGATGTGATTATCCTGTTAATAAATTTACAAGCAATATTAAGTTTCAAATAGATTTTTTTTTTTAAATACAGTTGTAATCTTATTAATATTATAAATGCGAATGTTTAGATGGATGGAGATTAACTTAATGTATCTCGACGTTTATCACAAATGTAGAACATAGTCAGAAAAAACAAGTTGGCTACTTATTTAGTTTTTTTAAGAAAGCAAATGCTAATTTGACATAATTATTTATTTTACTGTTAGTGAAATAATTCTATAATATTTGATATTTCTATTTCACTAATAAGTATTTCGTTAATCTATACTATTATAATAAAGCGTAAACATACACTTCTTTGTTGCCTAAGATCTCAGCAATTACAGCATATTTTTGAATAGCTCTTTTTTTAATAAAAAGCCCTACGCTTACTACATTACTACGTCACGCTTTAGGATATATATTTTCACGCCATTAAACTTAGGGGGTAAATATTTTGGATAAAACCCTAATGTGGGAAAGAGACCATAAATTGCTGCCAACATCAAGGTAGCAAGGTTGCCATGGTTTGTCCGCATGTCATGTGTCATTTTAACATTTGCTATTGATAATTTGACAAATGTAAACAATAAAATAAAATTTTCATAATTTCACGCGGATGAAGCCGCATGGGAACAGCTAGTAGAAACTAAATGCCAGAAGACTACGTTTTCTCTTACCATCAAAGTCGCCGTAACTCCTTCTCCTCTCCTTCCAGTGAGTCCAGTCCTCTGTCCACTTGTGCGCCTGCTCGCCCGCCACGCGCGGGGACAGCTCCCTCTCCGCCTGAGTTAACTTCTGATCAACTTGGACCTGGAAATTATACAATTGAACAATTAAGTCATTTTTTTAATTATTTCATCACTTTGCTGGAAATTTACACAAAAACACTACCAACACTATGATAAAAAAAACTCGTTTGAATATATAATGCATGTATGTAAAATTTTATTTTTTATTTTATTTATGTAAAATTTGCTTTTTGCAGATACTTAAGTTTACATATGGGTCGTCGATTTCTCACACACTCGCCCACAACAGTTGGACAGTCGCATAAGTTAGGCATTAAATGTTTGGATTTCCTAGCGCTAGTAATTGTTCACATTATGCCAGTCCAGTTATTCAGCGCTGGCGAACTGTACTGACCAAATGTGAACCAGAGATAAGCGTGTACTGACCGGGTAGAGCCCCACGTCGTCAGTCTGCACGGCCACTGACAGCGGGCGCGCTGTACTCTCCACTTGCACGCCGGTGTCCACTTTACTGCAATTGTTTTTTTTTTATATAAGAAAAGCGGACAAACGAGCAACTGATCGCTTGATATTAAGTTATCCGACGCCCTTGAGGATGTTCATGCCATTACACAACGTTACACACATTACAATGTACATTTATTAACAGGGGAAGTGGAAAAGGGACATTTTTTTCTGTAAATTTCTCTCTATAAAAGTACAACTCTTTCTTCTCCAATTAACTATTTGAAGATGTCTATGGTCCACATCTACTTCAATTTCTAGTTTAAACACAAATTAAATCAAATAAAAACCTTTAAAATCATTGTTTTCGACTTACGTGATATAAGTATTATTACT